TCTTATAATTAATTTCCTTTCAATGTGCACAAATTTCTGCACTGGGTGTCTAGTGTGATATAATAAATGTGACAACTGTAACATGCACAGGGCGGGGTAATGGGGCCAGTATGGTTGTAAACCTTCTACAGTTTACTTGAGATGGTAAAATATTCACTCTAATAGACTGAAATGTAAGTATTCTGTCATGCCTAGAGAAACTGCAAATAAAATAATACAAACAAATATAGCATTAAGATAATCAATCACTTAATGAAATACTAAAAATTATATTCACATAACTCAAAGAAAGCAGGAAAGGGGGCAGGGGACAAAGAAAATCTCCGATAAATCATGGGTCTGTCTATTTTCTCTACGTTTTGCTTTTTGAAAATTTCTCTTACAACATTTAGTGTGTTCACATTCACAAGGGTTACATTTATTGTTAATTCTAACGCTTACGAGTTCAAAAATGCTTTTCTTTTATCTCATTTCATGTTTTTTGGCTGAAAAATTGCCTCATCTCACATTAAGATGAGACCTCTGTCTTTTTTCAATGCCTTTGCCTCTGCTTTGATTGTTAAGCTGCTAAAGTAACTGTGTTGGGTGACTCTCTTGACCAGAACCACAGGGTGGCCCCTCACTGGCCCCAGTGACCTTCTTCTCTTTGTTCCCTCCACCCCCCGACACCCCGGGCGGTCCCTCCATCATCAGCCAGAGCTGGTCTGAGCAGCCAGCTAGCGACCGCAGAGATGGTGGCGTGTGACCAGGAGAGACTGGGACTGTGACTGCCGCTGTGCCCTGGGCTCTGCCAGTGTCTGTTTGAAGGAACTGCCCCCGTCCCCGTCCTCACTGTCCTCTCCCCGAGCGGGATTGTGTATGGGCAACAAGCCAAGAGGCGGCACCCTGAGCTCTGCCCCAAACACAGAGCTCCACTCCGTCCCCCTGTGGGTCTTATCTCGTTCAGGCATCTCACCACGATTTGCTCCATCTGAACATTTCATTAACTTTGCTACTAAACTTTGTTCAGCCATTGGTGAGGTTCTGGCCACTCCAGGACCCAGATAGAATTCGGAGTGACTGAGCCTTCTCTGTGGACAGCCATCACTCACCACCGGATGGCTCCCCTGTGGGCTGTGGTCATCCACCCATTACAGCCAGACGAGTTGATCCCGCACTTCCTGGCTTGCGGCCAGCCTGTCTCGCCAGTCCCCGGCTCTACGGGCGATGCTCACTAAGTGCGTGGCGTGGAGGCACAGGAGTGTGGCCCTGTCTGCCCACGGGGGTGTGGGAGATGACATGGGGACAGCAGGTGGCGGGCCTTTGCCGCTTTCGCAGCCTCAGTAGTGGACACGGCGCGGCTCTTGGTGGGGGCCGGCCGGAGCGTGGAGACGTTAGCAGCTCCTGGTCTCTGTCCACCGCACGCCAGCATCACTCCCCCAGTTGTGACGATCCAAAGTGTCCTGGGGGCCAAGATCGCCCTGTTTGGGAACCACTGGCCGAGACCCTGCGCAGGGTCAGCACGGTCTCTGTGTCAACCTGCAGTCGCGCTGATATGGCCGGTCCTGTGCCCTCCTCCCTCGGTAATTAATATTTTGATGTGCCCATGTTCACGCTCCCCTGGCCGACGTGACTCGTCAAACTTCTGCGACATTCCAGCTACAGCCTCCACACCGTCCTCTCTCGGCCAAGCATGTCGGGTGGCAGGGACACGAGGGCAGCCACTCACTCGGGCAGGGAGCTCTGTGAGACCTCGGGCGTGAAGTCGCTGTAACCCGGGAAGCGCCGTCCACACTGAAGCACAGTCGCTGGGCCCGGGACTGCGCGGGAGGGAGTCAGGAGCAGAGACAGGTCGCTGGGCTTGTTTCTCCAGGAAAAACGGAGACCGTCCTGCAAAGGGTTTCCAGCTGAGAATCACCGGGCAGTGGCCGGGCAGGGAAGCCGGTCACTTGTCAAGCGGCAAAGCACAGAGCACAGGGGCTGTGGTGGGTGGGAACCCTCGGCCGCTCCCCGAGGCCCCAGCTCCTGAGACGGAGGCGGAGGAGGTGGTGACATGACCTTGCTGCCTGTGTTTGTGCCTCACGCCGCATGTCATGCCCAGACTGGCTTTACTGCGACCAGATTCGTTATAAGCCCGGGGTGATGGGGTTCACAGCTGTGGCATGACCTGGGGTGGCAGGCTGGGACCCGGACAGTGCTGCCGTCGCGAGCCAGCTCAGAGCGGCGCCTGCCTCGGCCGCCTCCCTCTATTACTCTCTCCTGGTTCAGTTTCTGGAGCTTTTCTGTAGACACGTCACTGTGACACCTTTCATTCCTTCTCCGGAAGTGAATAAAAGGTGTGCGTTACCAGAGAGAGCCAGGGAGTGTCATAGTACGGGTTTGTCCATCTCGGCTGGGGCCTGTTCCACCCGTTCATGTCTTTAAAGGGCCTGGGCGCTCAGGACGCGCCTGTGGTTTCAGGGTCGAGGACACTCTGCTGGCTGGCAGGTGCCGGGTGCGGCGTGGCCGGGTGTGGGCTGGCCGAGGTCGGAATGACCACACGGCCCCCCGGCAGAGTCTTTGCCTCGGCCTGTGTCTGGGCTGCCCTGCCACCTGCGCGGGGGAGGTGGGACGCTGTCAGCCTCCTTCTTCAGGGACCAGAGCTGTTTTCCACCCGGACTCCTCGCTGAGGCCAGCAGCTGTGTGGTGTCTGACCATCGAGAACACCACATGGGGAGGAGCCCAGGCTCGTCTCAGAGAGCGGGTGTCCAGCCTTGTCCTATGGCCGCTGTTCAAATGGCCACAGACCAGCTCCAGAGTGAAGGTGTGCCTCCGTGGGCCTCACCGCCCAGCCCCTTGGCTGGCTAGTTCTCCAGGGCGGACACCTCCATCTGGCTTGTGTTTCTACTGATCAAGGCCCAGACTTTGTAAAGTCACGTGTTAATTTGTGGGGTTTCCGTCAGTCGAGATGCAATGTTTTCTGTCTGGCGGAGAAGATGACCCCAAAGGCTGCAGTCCCGTTCCCTGCAGGACGTGGTCACTGCGCCTGCTGGCAGAGGAGCTGTAGCCGCCAGCCTCATGGGGCAGCTCTGCCCCTGCGTTGCTCCTTGAACCACCTTTGCCATTTTGCTGGATCCAATAAATCGTGGAGGCGTGCTCATTCTACACTTGTGTGTCTTATTTTTAACTTTTTAAGATTATACTTGGCCTTAGAGATGGGCTCTGGTAGTTAACTGAATCCAGAGAGAAAGCTGATCCCTGAGATGAACTTGAACTTGACCTCTGGGAAAATTAAGACCACAAGGTCACGGGGAAAGGTCAGTGAGGTAGGTACCTACAGACGGGGAGGGAAGAAACCTGAAAGATGGAGGCAACACCTGTAAGATGACAAAAAGCATCAGATGAACCAACGCTTGTCCCCAAATCTGAGAAGGGCAAACCTCTGGTGAAAGGGGCTGCTTAGGAGGAGGGGAAAGAGAAGTCTCTCTAAACAGAGAGGGGCATTGGGTGGACGCTGGTGAGTGAAGCTGCCTGCCACCACACACTGCCCATGTGGGTGGCAGCTGTGCCCACGAGTGACCGCCCTCCCCCCCAGCTAAACAGGAGAAACACACGTGGAGCCGGTGCGGGGGTGGCGGCCTGTGGGCAGTCATTGAGCTCGGAGCTCAGAGGACAAAGTGGCCTGGGCACAGCTGAGAGGCTGGGCAGGGAGGCCCATGGAGGTGGCAGAAGTGGCGCACCCTTCACTCTCCCTCTCTCAGGAGGCCTTTCTGGAGGAGAACACCCCCAGAGACCTGGCCCAGGGCTGATATTCCAGATTCTGGTAAGGACCCCTTAAGGGGCAGCCAACCAGAAGGACTCACCCGCAGCCCCAGGCAATCAGGGCTGACTATTTCCTGGTGACAGGTGGTGATACGATGGATTCTGTGTGTCAACTTGGCTGGGCCATGTCCCCATATATTTGGTCTAACAGCAATCTAGATTTTTCAGAAAAGATTTACCCTAAATCCATAGACTGAGGAGGGCAGACTGCCCTCCATACTGTGGGTGGGCCTTGCTGAAGGAGTGAGGAGGAGAAGACTGAGGTCTCTAACAAAGAGGCTTGGTCAGCAGAGGGCCTTTGGACGAAGCTCCGCCCTGAGCTCTGCCCTGCAGGTGGCAGACATGAAGCCCCACAATCACAGGAGCCAGTTCCTCAGGATACACCCCTCGGGCGGTCTCCCTCCCACAGCAGCAGAACCAGGCACACTGTGGGCCTGCACTGGGGTTCATGGGTCACCCCAAGGTCTAACCCCTCCTGAGGATCAGGCCTTCCTGCTGTGGGAAGCCCCTGCCCCTCTCCTCCCCCCCCCCCACCTTTGGGCTCCCACCCTCAGCACTGGCTGCCCCTCTCCCTCCCCAGTGCAGTCAGCACTCAGCTGTGCTGGCTGACTCTCTGAAGGGCCCAAGAGGAATGCTTGGTTCAGTGGATCTTAAAAGTCTGAGCCGTGTGTATTGTACTTAGGGCTTCTCAATCAGATGCTAAAATCCCAACCCCTAAAGCAGTGGTTCTCAACCTTCCTAATGCCGCGACCCTTTAATACAGTTACTCATGTTGTGGTGACCCCCAATTTCATTGTTACAAATTGAACATCATTAAAGCATAGTGATTAATCACAAAAACAATATGTAATTATATATGTGTTTTCCGATGGTCTTAGGCGACCCCTGTGAAAGGGTCGTTCGACCCCCAAAGGTGTTGCGACCCACAGGTTGAGAACCGCTGCTAAAGGGAAATGCAGGGAGGCCAGACCATGAAGGTGCATTTACAGGGAAATAGCGGTGCTGCCTCCTTCTGAAGCTTAAGGGATTGTGCAGCCTCCCCAGCAGGTCCAGGGGTTCCCCAAGGTGTGGACGGAGTCGGCGAAAAAGGAATGACACGGAGACAGTGTTCAGGTGATCATCATAGCCAGGTTCTCTCCCCACCCCCCACCCCCAAATACAAAAAGTAACTACTTTGACTTTACAGATGAAATGTCCTCCCTAAGGAAGGCTAGCATTGGCTATTTAGTCTCTGGGGCAGATGTGGCATCTTGCTGGGTGCCAGCCTCTGTGGGCACAGCCTCGGGGCCAGCCGCAGCAGCAGTGACTTCGGAGACAGCGGAGGTGGCTTCTGGACTGGAACCAGTCCCTGCCCGACCAGGGGTGGCCTCCATCTCACCGGGGGTGGCCTCAGCCTGAGAGGCCAACAGTTCGTGACTGACGCTGGCATCTGTTAGACAGGGGATGTCAGCCTGAGTGAGCATGCCCTCTTCTTCTGTTTCCATTTCTGTTTCCTGGCTTTGAACTTCCTCACTTTCTTCTACCACAGCAGGTGGTAACTGCAATAAAGTCTGATGATAGTGATGGGTGGTCTGTATCAGGTGCATGTACATGTTGTACACAAAGTTTGCCACTTGGGGCATATTCTTTATTACCTGTACTTCATGACATGGCCCCTCTCCATTCTTCCTACAGGTTGGGAAAGGTTCCGTTGGAATTATATGCAAATGAAGTGGGCGGGCTGTGAGCTGGCTGAAAGCTGGAGTGAGTTCAAAACAGTTTTGGAAGAGGGATGTTCTGGCGAAGATATAAAGTCCAAGTATGGCTCGAGACATGGCCACCACTAAGCGACGAACATCCCTCAGATGGCCCACTGCCCTGGTTTGTACTAGAGAAAGAAGAATATAATCATTCTTTTGACCTTGAAATCTGTCAACAGTTGTCACCTTATTTGGTCTTCCAATCAATGGATTGCTCCCACATCGTCTATTGATAATGTCACGAATAAGATGCTTTTGCCCATTATAAGTTGTTAGAATACTGATCTTGTCAGCAGGGTAGCCAAGTAAACACATGTACATAAAGAGTGCCACTGCATATTCTGCCTCCCCAAGATTCTGGTAAAAGTAAGGATGAGGCTCAGACTCTCCCACTCCCTGAAAATCTTCAATATTGATGAGCTGGAAGTCATACAGCAAGCCAGCATTTGCTGTGCTAAACTCCGGCAAGAGCTGCACATGGGACAAGTTGCCTAGTTTCTTGTATCGCCAGTTGTACAGGGTGCACAAGCTTGCCCTGGCTCTCCCTTGGGCATCGAGGTCCACAGTAGGAACTCCAATCCGGACGAAGCGAGTGAAGAGAGACTGCTTCATGTTGGCATACTTCCGAAAGGCCGTGTTCTTAATGACCGGAGGTAACTGGTGACGATCACCAATCATAACCCATCGTTTCAGTCGGCTAACACCATCCTGAGGATTCTGTAGAAGAAGCGGTATAAACGTTTCTATCTCCAGGATCTGAGCAGCCTCCTCCATTAAAATGTTGTCATACTTGAAACCTAACTTGAATAAATCATGTCGTTTTAAGGCCGCATGAGTACAGGTCATGGCGATGATTTTGGCTTCTTTCATCAAAAGGTATTTAGATCTGTCCAGTCCACTTCGAAGCAGTTCAGAGGCCCTGAATTCCTCAAGCTGAGTAAAGATTTTCTTAATATGCCTGAAACATCCTTCAGCAATTTCCATGTCTTCTTCATAAGACCGACCTTTAAAAATGGGTTGAGGAGCATTTGCAAAGTATTCATGAAAAGGGAAGAACGTGGAGACTTCCGTGACATCTGGCGATGGGTTACCTTTATTTTTCACTTTGCTGATATATTCTTCCCAGCGAGACATTACCTGATATAAGAAGAAGTAGCCTGCTGGTTCACAGGTATATGAAGCATCCCCTGGCACCCCTAGGCTTTTTTGCAATCGTTTGACTTCTTCTAAAAGTTCTATTCTCTGAGCCAGGACATAGTTAACTCTTCCATACCTGCTGAAATCTTTCTCTATCTCCAGCTCTTCTTCTCCGTGACCAAGACGCAGGAGGTGGCTCTCGTCAATGTCTAAAGCCATGATTTTCTCAAACAACTGGTTCAGGGCCTGATTGGAATGAGTAACAATCAGGGTTCTCTGCTCTGGGAAATTGTGGTATATATTGGATATGATCTGAACCGCCACATCTGTTTTTCCTGAGCCTGGTGGGCCCACAACCACAGCTAGCCCAGGCTGCATTCCAGCACGGATGGCCTCTATCTGTGTATGTGTGAACTGAGTTGTATTACGCTTGGGCTGGTTGTAAGGGTAAGGACCCCAATTAGGAATAACATGAGGTTCAACAGTTAAGGTCTTGGCCTCTTCAGTGTCTTCATCTTCCCCATCCATGGCTTTCCTTTTCCTCCCTTTCCCACTTCTCACTGGAAAAGTTATCCTGAAAGGGGGCATCTGCAGAGCTGGGTCACCCACGGTGACTTTCACATGATGACCAGGGAAGCTGTTTTTCAAATGCTCAACGGAGAGAAATGTGTCGTTTAAATCGAGGGTGGCGATCTGATTGGGCATTTTGGAATAATGTGCACTGCTTGGATCCCCGTAACCTAAAATGATGTCACGCAGCCAGGCAGGTGCCACACAGTCCGTGTTCATCAGGTTCCGAATCGTCTCCAGCACGGCCTTACAGTGATTTTCTTTTGGTTTTCTCCTCGTTATTATATTGAAAGTTCCGTACACGTCTTCTGCTCCATTTTGTATAGTATTGGTCATATCTTGTTGATACTGGTTTGGATCCAAAAACACTCTAAATGTCCTTGACTCTCCTCTAAGATTGGGTCTGGGTTCAGGTCCGTCTTCGATGACACGTCCTTTATCATCCAGCATGCCCTGGATTTCACAGCCTCGGACATAAACCAGGCCAACCTGCTCAATAAAAGGTCTCCTCCGGTCAAACTTGGTACCATACGGTTTTGTGGGACGCACAGTAATTAGAAGGCACACATCATGCTTGCGAAGGCCTTCCCACCCATCTTGGATGTGATCTCTGACATTGAGATTGACGGTGACATCTGCACGAACTCAGGTTGGCCAGTTTTCGCCTATGTTGGGTTTGGCAACCTCAACCACAGTGAAAGCCACCATGGGCTGAGCCATTCGCCCCCAGCCACCAAATACCACACCGCCATATTCAGACCGCCCAGGCTCCATTCTGCTGGCACAGTCTTCGATGTCCTGCCTAACTTCATAAGTTGATTCGAAGCAGAAGAGAGTAAAGTTCCTTAGGAGGTAATCATGAAGAGTCAAAACCTGCAGATTTAGCTTGGCAAGAGCAAGACAACCTTCCCCTGAATAGCACTCGGTTGGGACAATATTTTCATCCCATATGATCTTCTCAGTTGGATACAAAGGCATCTGGTTCAACTGCTGAATCTGAGAAATTCGACGTTCATGACGAGATACCAGCAATTCTAGAAGAAATTCTTTATCGAAAGTTGTGTCTTCGGTTTTAGGAAGAGCTGGTAACAAGCAGAGGTGGAGTGTATTTGAACTAAGAGGTCCAAAGAACTTGACCAAGGATCCCCGAGTACCTACTTCTGCCACATTTGAGAGGGCAAAACCATGGAGTTCAGGGAAATGTGCAAAAGCAGCTCTCTGTAGAGAAGTGACTCTATCATAGTGAATGGCAGTCATCTCGTTCTCTGTCAGAGCGTTTCCAGTCTGGTCATTAATCTCGAAACCAGTATAGAACTTAAGCATGTCCAAAAGCTGGGAAAAAAGATGGCCATCCTCTTCCCTATGAACAAGGTTGGAAAGGTAGCAGTGAACCAGAAGGTGGGAGTCGTCCAGGATGGTATTAAACCAGCGCCTTGTGGGGAGTAGGGCCTCTAGATCAATCATAAGTTCAATGAATCTTTCACAGTAATGAACTTTGTCCATAGTGACAGGTTCGGAAAGTGGGACTGACTTCAGCACGGAGATAAACTTCCGGGTGAGCTGTGAGAGAAATCTTCTTTCTTGATAGGCTTGTTCTCTTGCTTCTGGATCCATCTTTTCATCGTTCTTTTTAATCAAGCTCCAGAATTTTCTTAGCTTAGGTGTCTTTTTTAATTCTAATTCCAAGCGTGCAGGCTGTAAGCCCATCCACATTGGGAGGGAGATAAGCTGCTGTACTTGAGTTCGTTTCAAGTCTACTTCCAAACTATTGAAGCAGTGATCAAGAAAAAGCAATAAGACTGTCTGTTCATGGAGTGAAAATTCACCATCAGTTTCAGCCAATGCTGCTTTCAAGATGCACTTAAAAAAGAATGGGAAGTGGTCTGGCTTCTCCTTGAAAGTCTCCCATGCAGGGACATTTTCTCTGAACTTCTCATTCACCATACAACAGATGGACATTAAATAGGCCTTGCTGGACACGTCCGGAGAATAATTCATCCACAGGTAATGTTCAGGGTACTGGCTAAATTCCAAGAGCATTATCTTTCTGATGGCGAACCTTGAATTGACAATCTCTTTTTTATATATATCTTCAATGACCTAAGTTGCAAGTTCAATCCCCAGCTGGGCGTGTATGGAAGGAAACAGATTGACGATTCCCTTTCACATTGATGGTTCTCTCTCTCGCCCTTCCTTTATATCAAAAGGTGATTTTTTCTTGATATGGGGAGACCAGTACTTACATGTCAACTGGGTCACGAACTCCGCGTTGATCTGGGATGCCGTAGGGGCCACGACTTTCTTGGGCTGAGCTGGAGCCGCAATGGCAGCACTCGCCCTCCGTGGCAGTGGGGAAGAAAGGCCCGCTCCGAGCAACGGTGAGCCCAATGCATTTCCCGGGGGAGCGGCTGCGGCTGCCTCTCCACACAGGGCAAGGACCTCTGGCCCGGAAAGCTCAGGCTTCACAGTCCCACGGGGAACGCGTCCCTAGCCAGGTTCTCCAGCCAGGATCTCCAGCCAGGTTATGTGTTTATTGTCTTGTTACATCTGTATTTATACCAGTTGATTTTAATCCTATCAATTCTATTCCAAAGGTTAGGGCGTTTCTTATCTCCATTCCAAGGTCACTACTCTATTGTTCTATTAAGCTACAAGAAAGTAACTGAAGGAGATTATCCTAAGTAAAGATTATGTAGCTTAAGCGTGATTGTTCGTAGTTAAAGTGATTAATTACCCACCTGGCACTTAGTTAAGGGGTTTTATTCCCTCCCAACTCCAGGGGAAAATCCTCACCTGGGGAAACAACCTTTCTCGGGGAGGTGGTCCTGTTTAAAACACATAGCGTTAAGAGGGGGAGCAACATATGCCATATACGCCAGGTCCCTTGAAACATAAGCTGTGCAGATGTTTCTTCCCTGCAGCGACTGTGTCAAGCAGCAAGGGTGGTCCAGCTTCCGGCAGTCAGTGCTGGGATGGATGGATGGGTAGAGGTCAGTGCTGGGATGGACAGGCAGAGGTCAGCACTGGGATGGACGGGCAGAGGTCAGCGCTGGGATGGATGGACGGGCAGAGGTCATTGCTGGGATGGATGGACAGGCAGAGGTCAGCGTTGGGATGGATGGACGGGCAGAGGTCAGCACTGGGATGGATGGACGGGCAGAGGTCAGTGCTGGGATGGACAGGCAGAGGTCAGCATTGGGATGGATGGACGGGCAGAGGTCAGCGCTGGGATGGATGGATGGGCAGAGGTCAGTGCTGGGATGGATGGATGGGCAGAGGTCAGTGCTGGGATGGATGGACGGGCAGAGGTCAGTGCTGGGATGGACAGGCAGAAGTCAGCACTGGGATGGATGGACGGGCAGAGGTCAGCGCTGGGATGGATGGGCAGAGGTCAGTGCTGGGATGGATGAGTGGGCTGGGCTGGGGAAGGAGGCAGAATGGTGAACGGGCCGAGGTTGAGGGCTCACCCAGTCTTCATGCATCTGCTGCCCACACAGCCTCGGGATCCCATCTGTGAGCCGCATGCCCACGGACCACGGGTTCACCAAGTCCTCGCCTCGTGCAGTTTGCATCCATCTTCTCACCCCTGCTGAGTGGAGAACTGCTGCTAACACCTCACAAGTGAAGAGCCTCGCCTCGCAGGGCATGCACCACTAGCTCAAGGTCACCCACGGAGAGAGGGCGCTCAGGGTTGGAGCCAGGCTGTGCGGGCAAGCACGTGGAAGGCGGGCCCCGAGCAGCTGCTGCTCTCCCTTCCCCGCCTGCTGGCTCCAGCAGCTGCGGACCTCTGATGACGCCGAGGCCCATGTAGGTTCATTTCCTTCTCAGGGAGGCGCTGATGGCCGGAGTGCCGTCACAGAGGCACAGCGGACGGGGCACCTGGGCGACGGGACCGGGGGCGGGACTCGGGGAGAGAGTGCGTCAGGGGATCGGCGTGGACACGTGTGTCCAAAGGAAGGAGAGGGACGTTCAGAGACACTTGGGATTGGGTGGCCAGGACGGTGTGGCCGACTTAGGACTGAGGCCCCATGTTTTTGTCCCTGTTGTTTTGGTGGACACCAGCACGGTCTGCCATCCCAAGATGCCGCGCATGAGCCCAAGGACAGGCTGGGACGACTGGCCTGCGAAGGTGGCCACGCAGTCCACCAGCCACTCTCGGCAGGAAACCAGCCCAGCCTCGATCCTTCCAGCCACTCAGCGCGTGTCACCGGCTCTGTCTCGAGTCCCGTGGGCCTTGGGCCTGAGGGAGGTTTGCCCAGACCGTACCCCAGACCCTGAGCAAGTGGAGGCCCCGGGCCACATGGGGAGGTAGCATGGCCGGGGAGGGCAGATGTTGGGGTGTCCACTCTGCCCATGTGGGAAGTCTCTACTCCTGCAAGTCAGGGAAGTGTGGCAGGTCCCCTGCAAGGGGTGGGGGGAGAAGGTAGGTGGCGGCTCTTCCCTGGCCTTGCCTTCACAGCCCCTGGGTCAGAGCAGGTCCATGTCCCGATGGACCACAAGCACCCGGCTCACCTCCCTCTTCCCTCTCTGCGGCCCCTGTTACACCTGCCCAGCACTTTGGGGTCGGCACCCAGGAGCCAGACGTGCCTGCTTCCCTGGGACAAGCCTCCAGCGAGCCAAGGGGCATCTGACCGTCTCCCTGTGCCCTGGCTGCGCGTGCCGGCTGTGCGGGTGCTGCCAATGAGAAGGCAGATGCTGATGGGTCAGCGGGCTGTCCTGACAGAGCAGCGGCATCGCCCCCTCCACTGGCCGCTGGAAGGAACAGGCCTCAATCCTTCTACCCTGGGAGCCTAAGAGGAGGCGCCCTCCTCCCTGCTGCCCCCGGGACAGGGCTGGCAACCGCCCACCGTGGTCTGGGTGCCAAAAGCCCCAAGGAATATAGACGTCCAGTTCTGAAACAGTGCTCGATGACGTTTTCTAATGGGAAAGAGTCTGCCAGGCCTGGGCCTGGCCGGGGCTCAGCTGGTTCGAATGCTGTCCCGATGCACCAAGGTTGCAGGTTCGGTCCCCCGTCGGGGCACAGGCAAGAAGCACCAGCGAGTGCGCCAGTAAGTGGCACAACATACTGATGTTCCTCTCTCTCCCTCTCCCTCTCTCTCTCAAAACCAACAATAAAAATAAATAAGTTGTCAGGCCCTGAATCCACTAACAGGAACGGTGTCCTGTGTTCAACATGAGAGCAGTCTGTTATGGAACCTGTCCAGGCCACGGCGGCTCCACGCAGCGCGGTTCCCTGACGCCTCTTGCATCCCCATCAGTGGCGACTCCTTGTGCATTTTCTCATCTGAAAGCTGTTCAGGGAAACATCTGGTAGTGGCAGACTGGCCGTTATGTCCTTGAAGGAGAAAAGTAAACGTACTGACAGAATCATACAGTCTTAGAGCTGAAGGGACTCAGTAGATTTTGATCAACTATACAATAAGCAGGAGCTGTGTTCATTACTTCGAGGAGGAAAAAGGCCTCGGGTTCTGTGGTTCTGAGGAGGCTGAATGCGGAGATGGGCCTGTTGGGCAGCTCAGCACAGACGCGGGACCCCCGTCCGCAGGCGAGCCCATGGGCCCCTCTTTCTACTGATCATCGGCAGGAATTCGGCCGGTATCTCTCACCTTCTGCAGAAGTAATCATCGAAGGCAAACGCATTTCCAAAGGTCCTCGCTTTGGAAAAAACAGGGAACACATTATGCAATCAATTCACAGGAGGAGATGATATTTGGGGATTCAAATCTCTTGTGCAAACCACCGCACATCTACATCAACGTGAGGGGATGTTGTTCTATTCCTGCCCCTTCAACCCGTGCGGGCTGGAGGCGGTGGTTATATTTGCAAACTCATCCTCTTAGCCTTGGGAAAATGAGCTTGGAAGTCCTCAAGTCATTTAAGGTCTTAAAGCCAAAGTCATTTTGAATCTCGGGGAAGAGTAGGATCAGGTGGGGCCATGAGGAGGTGTGCCCAGTGCTCGCCAGAGAACTGGATGCATGGCTGTTGGGCTCCTTTAGCCGCGGGCTGTGACCCCTCATCTGCAGAGGCGCCTGCTGCAGGTGCCCCTGCCTTTTTTGAGTTCTTCGTCTCAGTCATTAGTGCCATAAGCAGCGCAGATAAATCTCAAAGTGACTGAGTTTGGCCAGGCCTGTGTTGCTAAGTGATTAGAGCAGTGGTTCTCAACCTTCTGGCCCTTTAAATACAGTTCCTCATATTGTGACCCAACCATAACATTATGTTTGTTGCTACTTCATAACTGTAATGTTGCTACTGTTATGAATCGTCATGTAAATATCTGATATGCAGGATGGTCTTAGGCGACCCCTGTGAAAGGGTCGTTCGACCGCCAAAGGGGTCACGGCCCACAGGTTGAGAACCGCTGGATTAGAGTGTCAGCCCTTGAACCCGAGTGTCCAGTGTTAGACTCCTGGTCAAGGGCACATAGCTGGGTTGCAGGTTCCATCCCAGGCCCAGATTGGGGCGCAAGCAGGAGGCAACCAATTGATGTGTCTTTCTCACATCCATCTCTCTCTCTCCCTCTCTCTCTTTCGTTCTCTCTCTGTCTCTCTCTCTCCCTCCCTCCCTCCACTCTCTCTAAACAAGTCAATGGGAAAAAAATCTACTGAGTTTGATTTCCTGAGCAAAGATGTGTGTGTGTGTGCGCGTGTGCGTGTGTGCGTGTGTACGTGTGTGTGCGTGTGTGTGTGTGTGTGTGAGAGAGAGAGAAGCTGGGTGGGTAAGGATGCTGACAATGTTATTCTCATAGGAAATCTGTAAATTCTTTCCGATGTTTCTGCTCGGCTCCACTGAGCTGGAGCATGTTAGACAATCAGGAAACATGGCAAGACCTTGTGCTGAGCAGGAAAGCTGACAGGCGGGTTCCACTCCTCCGGCAGCCTCCAGGGATTTCCTGTGTCCGTGGCTGCGGAACCCCAGTCCTCTCACCGCCGCTCTGCTCAGGGGCTCGGGCAGGGTTATCATGGGTGTAAAGATGGGCTAAGGGGTGCCGGCTGGCGTGGCTCAGTGGTTGAGCATCGACCCATGAACCAGGAGGTCACGGTTTGATTCTCAGAGCACATGCCCGGGTTGCAGGCTCCATCCTAGTGATCTGCTACATGCAGGAGGCAGCCAATCAGTGAGTCTCTGCCGGAGTCCATTCATTGTCTTCACTAGCTGAGTTTAGACAGAGACCCCCAAAAGCTAGTAACCTTTGAAGTCCTAGCAAAGGTCAGGACTGTGCACCACCCAGTTAATCTAGGAACCACCTAGTTGATTTAGGTAATGGTAGTTGAAGCATCATCCCCACCTTAGTTCACTGAATTCCTTAGATACTTGTGTAGACCAATGAGCTAATCCATGTGTCATTCAAACCACCTTACCCTAGGGCTACCCCAGACTAACCTCCTTACCCTAGGGCTACCCCATACCAAATAAAAGGTTGGAGCGGCCTGAGCATCCGTGGAAGTCCTTTGGGACTTGCCCGTCTGGTCCCCCAATATTGCAAAATTATCTCGTGTCATTTCTCTCTCATTTGTTGTGCGGCTCCTCTTTCAGATACCGAACCCTACTCCGCAGAACGTGGAGGGAGTGTTACTCAACAAGTCTCATCACTGATGTTTCCATCTCTCTCTTCCTCTCTGAAATCAATAAAAATATATTATAAAAAAAAAGACAGGACGGGGGTGAGTCGTGTGGGGCGGACGGAACGTGCACAGCACCGGAGCTGTCCGACGGGCCTGCTGCCCCTGAGCCCGGCTCACTGGACGCTGAGATGTGGCCGAGCCTGAGAGGAGCCTGTGCAGACGCTCGCTTGGCAGGTACCGCGGGGCATCCCGGTGCCCCCGCTGCTGCCCTGGGCGTGCTCTTCCAGAAGCAGGTGTCCACTCCCGTACCTCACTGGCGAGTAAGAGTCTTTCCCGTGGAAAAGAGGCGTTTAAAAAACTACGCCACTGGGCACTAGGGTGGTCACTAGGACGCACAGGTCGGTCTGGGGGCTCTGCCAGGCACCTGGTCCCAGCGCCAGGCCTCAGGACCACGTGGGTTGCCACATTAACACTTCATTCTGGCAATAGAAATCATGTTCTACTCCACAGCTCCTGCATCATGTCATCGTCTCTCAGCTGTACGGAGATACACTTGACAAAACTGTAGTCAGTACAAGTGTGCCATGTGATGGTTTGATGGACATACATGATTTTGAAGGACTCCCACCATCAGGTTAGTTAGCACATCCATCACCTCTCATAATTACTTTTTTTCTTTTTAGTCTGAACACAAGTTCTACTCTCTCAGCAAATTTCAATTTTACAAACAGTGTTCTCAGCTGTAGTCACCACGTTCTGCATTAGTGACCTTATTCCTCTTGTAACTGAAAGTTTATACCTTTTACCACCCTCTCCCACTTGCCCACCCCCAGGCCCTGGCAACCACCATTCTGCTCTGTTTCTGACTTCCTTTTTGTTTTTATTTCCACATATGAGTGATACCATGTAGTATTTGTGTCCATACCACCCAAAGCAGTTTACTATTTTTTTGTTAATCCTCA